GAATTATATATATATATATATATATATACGTATATAAAGTCTGTATGTTTAGATTTTTAATGAGCTTTCAGTTAATTAAACATAATTAAACTAAATTTGTTTTCTTTGATCGTATGACTCTTACTCAATTTGAATAAGGATTGCAATTTACATTTGATCGCATAAGCTCTCCGTAAATGTCAATCGTAACCCTTGAGAAATCATTTTACTGCATTTACACGCTATAATTGGTCAAGAGATAATTGCTTCTCTATGCGTTGCAGCTCTCTTGCCTGATCATGATCATGATCTTCGCGATTTTCATTAGAAACATAATTCTTGTTTAATAAACATTGTAATTAGAATTATGATTTATTTATTTATTATTATTTTTTATTTATTTATCTGTGTGCAAGATCTTCATTCATTGTTTTAATTTATTATGAATCAGATCCTGTTTGATGAGGCAGAAAATTTGTAATGAATCAGCAATTAGTTAATTCAGGAACTTGAAGATTTAGATTAATTATTCGAATTATTATTTTTTTCAAATTTAATTCTTGTTTTGTAGTAAAATTTTCATACTTTTTATGTTAGAACATGAGAGAATTTGGTGGGAATTAAGTAGCGAAAGACGAGAGTGATCTATGAAGGGATCCACTTAAATAAGGACGGATCCCTGTTAGAAACGTGGAGAAAACACTGATAAATTCATATGGTTTAGCTTGTTGAGGCGAGAACCCCCACGACTAGTGTTCAGTGGTTTTATCCACTCGATTCGGTGGGCTACCTTTAAAAAATTTGTACTAGTTGTAGTTTAGATTTTACACTAAATTTTACATTAAAATATATTAGGCCCGATTGTTTAATATAATATAAAAAGATAAAAATATTTTTTTAAACTATTACTTTGAAGGAATTTCTTTGCACAGCTGAATTAATACAGGATTCACTCCTTGAATTCTTTGCAGACCGAACCAGATATCTTCATTCCAGTAAATCATCCCCTTAATATATAAATTAACGGGAAATTAATCGTAGAATAAATCAAATTATTTTTTTTAAAATATGAAAATAAAAGGACATACGTTAGGTTCACCCAAACTAAATTTATAAACTTTTTTTAAATTTTCCATCGACCGCCATTTTTCCGTCGTCCAATTAATAACTTTCGTGTGAAGTAATAATTTTGTTTTATTTTTTACAATATCCCACTGAAAAAAATGAATAGTAAATATTATTATTTAGCATCGATTTTTAACTATTTAAATAAATTATTTCAAGACATTAATACTTTAAAAAGTGTATATCTTACTTTATAATCATGAGAAAATTTCTCATCTTCGGGTAAACATCTCACCTGAAAAATCAATTAAAACATTTAATAAATATGTAAATTATAAAAATTAAGAGAGAAATTCTTTAAGAAAATAATAATAACGTAGTTTATAATTTAATAAATTAGCTTAGAATTTAAACTGGTGTCATCTGTACCCAATTTTTTTTCCACCGGAAGATTACGAGCCTCAAATCGGGATATAATTTGATTATAAATATAGAATTCATGCTTTAAATGATTTAATACCTAACCTCAATAAAGATTTAGTTGATTTATGAAGCAAAAATTAAAATATTTTTGCAAAATTAGGGAAAAAATGCAAGCGATTTTATACGCGCCAACGCATGAAAGATCAATGAAACATATCTGAAAGTGTCTTAAATTTATAAATATATAATTTTTGGTAATTTTAATAACTTAAGTATATATAGAATTATATAATATACATTTCAATTAATTTAAATCCACACTTACCTGAGAAGGTCCACAATCTATATGCTGATGAAAGCAATACAAATTCCTCTTCTCTCTTAACTCCATCTTTCTCTGATGTACGCAATCATGTTTTTGTGGGAGGCAACAATCATACTTCATCAAAACATATTGGTGATCGGCTTTAATCCATCTATGAACTGGAAAATGGCTAATTTCTCCAGTTTCGGGATCTTCTACATTAATCATTTGTAGGTACCAACTATCTCCAATTCCGAAGCTATCCCTCCACAGTTCGATTTTTATAGCCTTGCCGAAATTATTCCCAGGATATGCTGTAAAAGTATTTATGCTACCTCTCTCGTTATCATTCCGGAAACGCCTGTTTAGCTTAGTTATCGTCGATCTGTTATTTCTATCATCATGTAACACCAACCATACATTGGCATCCGTTCCCGCTCCTTTCCTGTCTCCCGTAACGACGTGGATTAATAATTGTTTATGATCCGAAATTGTAAAACTGCTATACCACTGACCCATATTTTCATCTGAAATAAAATTAATTAAAACGTAATTTAAAACAATTTTCAATAAAAAAAAAATAATAATAATAATTAATTTTTAAAATCGATTAATTTAATCAACTAGTCGTGGTGGCGCTTCAATTCACATTTTTAAATATTTTTTGAATTAACGGTTCTGGTAATGTATTGTACGTGTGTCTGACGTAGAAAAAACTTTGTTGCTGCTGATCTAGATATGTTTATCGACTTGTCTTCGCAATTCTCTTTAAAACAGCTTACAAGTGCTATGTTTCCCCGCTATCACTCCAATTTTATGTAACACGATAACATCAATAACAATGGCGAACAGTCAGCCAGCTGTCTTTAGCTTGCCTTTTGGTAAAAATCGTAGTCAAAGGTTGATGCGCTTCTACTAAATCGATCATATTCCCCTGTTTAAAACGATAACTTTAAATACAAAAAAAAAAAAAAGAAGGAACCATCAGTAAAGATGGATACTTATAAATTGACCATGGAATACTCTATTTACAACAATTTCTGAAACTTTTCTTTCTTTTTTTTTTAAATAATAAGTTTCTAAATCAGCATAAAATTAATAATTAAAGATTTACTTCGTGTAAAATGAAGGGCGTGAATCTATAATATTCCTGCTGTAGTATTCATTTAAACGCGTGACTTCTCTTGAAATATTAAAATGAAACTTGTTTCTTATTCTTCAGGTTTCTTTTACGTACTACAAGGCCATTTTTAAGTAGTACTTCTACGTTTACATTGATAAATATCTTGTACGACAGGAAATTATAGTAAAATTCAAATGTTGTAATATTCAAATACAGTAAAACCTGTTTAAAATGAAATGATAACCTGCCTAAACGGAAATAATTCTTCGAAACGGAGCGATATTCTATATGTAACCTGTTTAAAATGGAAACCTGTCATACCGGAAAAAAAATATTCAGTACCGTGAGATGCAGGTTATATTGTATATTTAAATAAATATTTTACTGTATTAAAATATTTAAAATTTATTAAAAGAGAAACTCAAAAACACCATTTTTTTCACACGCTTTCATGACTAAAATCAAAATGTCTGAAGGTTACTTTTTAGAAATTTTAGAAAATTTACAAAAACTCGCATTTATAAAGATTAAAATAATAATAAAATTTTTAATTAAGTATTTTTTAAATCAAAAGTTTTAACATTTTATTCGAATTTTCTTCACACCAATTTAGTAACTGTTAACTGTCACTGGCGTCGCTGTAAGCAACGTTTTATAAATATGCAAATTAATTAGAACGTCCCCTGGTGGATGAAATAATTATCAAAATTGAAGAGTAAAATATGTAAATAAAATTTTATATTAAAACGAGAAAATATCGTAATATAAAATAAATAAATAAATAAATAAAATAGCAAAAATTCAGTGAGACTTTGAAAAACTAAATTGAAAAGACGATAAATTAATCTAGTTACTATTTCTTTATATTCAAAAATATTTAAAAAATTAATATTTTATATAACTCAGTCCTTCACGACTTAATAAAATTTTTATGTATTTCAAACAGATGTAAAAGGTAACGCTTTCTGTGTATTGAATTATTAATTAAATTATTAATTTAACATTAAATAAATTAATCTTACATTTTAGCTAATTATATTTTTAATTTGTCATCGAATTTTATACATTTTTTTTTCCATAGAAAAAAGAATAATATAGTGAAGCGTAAGTGCTTACCAGGGCGTGGAGTATATGCATTTAATCATGAATAAAATAGCTGTTATTTAAATATAAAATATTTTTACATAATTATTAACCGTTGAAGCGCTCTGTCTTCATAATTCTGATGCGTTAACGTTTACCTAACATGCGTGCCAAATTCTTGAATACAAAACCATACGCGAATGCCATTGTTTTATGTCGCAAAATAATTTTAAATAAATTATTTAAAGTTGTATTTCAACTTTGCAAACCGTGATTTTATTCAATATATTGATTGTTTTACATTCGTGTAATGTTTTGTCGTGAAACTTAACCTTTTTAATGATCGGCACCCCTTTGAATCGCAAAACACGGTCTCGCACCTCTTTGAAAATTATGATCATGATGGAAAAGGTACAGAGGATAGTAGTAAGAGTTCTGCTTATCGTGGACTCTGAGAGTACCCAGTATGTCGAGTTGAATTTATATAGCATAAGACAGCTTTAAAGTTTATATTATACATCTAAAGTTTAAAAACTTATTGTTATCACTCGCATCCTCCAAAGGTGCAGCATCCTAGTTAATAAAACACTGTTTTAAATTAATATATCATTTACTAAAAGATTGCCATTATCTTTAAACTAGTAAAACAACTTATGAACATGTTTATAAGATGCTCCTCATACACAGAAACACGAGATTTTTATCTGTATTTGATGGCGAAGAATAAAGCATGATTGTAAGATTCTAACTTATACAGAAAATGTCATACATGCTAATTTAAAAAAATGTGTATAATATTAAAAAGATTAAACTACAGTTTATTTTAATTAAAAGTCAGAACTTAATATATTTTTATTTATTTTTTTTAAAGAAACAGTGCAACAAGTCGCGACATGGATTTTGCTCTGTATCTCAGGTGGTGATTCGCAATGAAATACTTATAAGACTTTCCTTATAAACAACAAGAGTAACAACGTAAGTATTTGTGTTTACTTTCGAACAACTTTTCTAGGGGTTTAAATTGAAAAAGTAAAAAAATTCCAAGTAAAACCAATACCCCAACAACTTCAAAACTTGAATTTTCTTGCTGCACGTAATAAATAATTCATAAGTTGACCCCAGTAGAAGAAATAAGGAAAAAGTATATAAAAATAAATTAAAAATACTTACAGGATTATCCGGTTTCGGATCCTGAAATAATTGTATAGCAATTGGTAGAAGATCATTATCTTTATTCAAATAAAAGAGAGCAATTGGTGAACATATCTGTAAATTAAAAAAAAAATCATCAATAAATAAATATAAAATATATCCATTTTATGCGTTTAAATATTTTAAAAAATAATATATTTTTATCACAATTTAGGCACCATTTTAGTATCTTTAACCCGATAAGATACAATCAAAATAATACTTTAACATGGCATCCTTCTTGACCAGTAATGGACGATTACAGAAGAAAAATGCATAAAATATAAAGTTTAAATTAAAATATTGCAATGTAATTACTTACTTTTTAATATATTTATATATAATTGATAATAACATAATTAATTTTAGGGGAATTAACTGTAATTAACCTAACTTATATTTAGTAATTTTCAGAAGATGGCGCTACCATACTTGTACTGTACTGTACTACAAAACACGGTATTGATCGCTTTGTTTTCTTAATGTAATTGTAAATCATTTTCTTTAATTATTTATGAATATTTAATTTTTATATCAATGAATTTATCTTGAATATTGAAACAAAATTGAATCTTATAGCTTTAATATTATAAATTATTAAATATAGTATAAACTGGAAGATAATTGCTCCAGGACATTCCATTTTATCTAAATTTAATACACTGTGCTGTGTTTTCTTACGATTTTGAGATTTATACGAATTTCAAATTATAAGAAACCACTTCGCAATTCACTCCACTCGTATTTCATTACTTTTTTTTCAATTTATGGACACTTAATTAAAATTTTGGGATTTATATAAACCTCAAAACACTGTGCAATGGCTGCTTTGAAGGGTTGGTTTGTCTATAATGTTAGTAGGGGATAATGTATTCTTTTCTTTCTTTTATTGTGTTGCATTGAGGAGTGGTTTCTTATAATTTCAGGGTTTATACTGTTTAAACCTTAAAATCATAAGTAATCATTCTATAGCTTCTAGAATGGCACATATAATCCTGCATTTTTGGCATACAAAATTCATTGTATTGTACATTCTTAATTTTTATCTGTAAGTATATTTGATATACCTCATTACAATAGGTAAACACAGTTTCATTTCTCTTATAATTTTTCTAAATTAAAGACAAATGAAACATTCCTCATTATGGAACAAGATGGCGACCGTTTCAATTTAAACTACACATAAATTAAACTGTAATTAAGCTTTCATTTCACTCATAATTTTACAAGATTCAGCTAAGAATTTTATTATGTCTTTAGAATAAAATAATAATAATAATAAAAAAGAAACCATTATAAATATTTATATATATTCACTTTCATTACTGAGTTTTCATTGAATTATTTTATAAATATTCAATGAATATTCCGGCATCACTCAACTTTATATAAGCAGCATCTTCAAACATATCATAAAGCAACATTACGTAACTTCAACATGCATAAAATATAGAACATGTGGAGTGAAATTATCACATAAAAATATAACTTGTCTTAAAGCATCAACTAAAATTATAAAATAACATTTATACTATAAATAGTAATAATAAATGCATTAATCTATTTAATGTAGCTATATAAAACTTTTATGACTTCTATGATACATGATTCTAAATCTTTGAAGTACATGACTTCTTAACAAAATGTTTATCTATAGAAATTAAATATTGAATAAGTTTTCTATTAATAATAATAATAATTCTTACCATAAATTATATTTAATTGGAATTTTTATTATTAGAAAATATCCAACTTTATAATCAAAATATTTCTTCCCTCTCAACCTGTTTATCATTGAATGAAGAACAGGTTGAGATGGAAAAACTGATAATTAAATTAGCATTATAATTAACTCTTATATTTAATTATTCTATTAAATACAGTAAAACCTGTGTAAACCGGAATCGCACGGTATTTAAATATTTTTCATGTTTCCGCTTTAAACAGGTTATTATTATTATTTTTAGCAGAAAATCGGTCCGTTTCGAAGATTTTTCCCGTTTAGGCAGGTTTCCGTTTTAGACAGGTTTTGCTGTATAATAAAATTTTATAATGGTTTCTATATTTAAAAAGTACTGTACTTTTACAGGGCAGAATACGCTTGGCGCCGCGCCGCGTCGCGTCGCGAATCGCTTGAAACACGAAAAATTAATTAATGTTCAATACTTATTATTTTATTTATAATAAAATTACGAAAAAATATAAAAATTTATGATTTTGAAAGCTGTAAATTTTTTTTTAATTTAATATATTTTTTTGGGAGAAAATAAATTAGATAAAACATTAATGTTCTAAGCGATGCGGCGTAAGTCCCTATCNATAATTTTTTTCAATTGAAATTTTAAAAAATTTGATTTATTCGATGAAAAAATGACGCTTTTATCGCGTATAACGCGCAGTTTAGAAGGTAAACTGCGCTAACTCGATCACGAATTTAAAGGGTGGAAAGGGAAGAAGAAAAAAAAATAGTATATCATTTTATTACGTTTGTAATACAAAAATTTTAATCGTGTATTAAAATATCGTGATTGGTGTCCATTCGTCTTTAAAAATGATCCCATGCCAAATCAGATTCGATTAAATTTACATAATTTAAAAAAATATGTAGACGTGATTTTTAATGAAATTTTCAATACAGAACGATGTATACAAATGGATAAAATTTATATTAAATTTCCTATCATCCCCTCTTTTATTCTATTATTACAAATCTTTTAATATTTTATTGATATTTATAGAAATAAAAAATAAAATAAAATAGGCCTAATAATAATAATAATATAAAAGTTATTATTATTATTATTATTTTATATTATTATTTTTTTATCTTCTTGGAGTTTAAAATTCTATTTTCATTCGTATTTCTCCTTAGCTTTTCGAAATTTAAATCACCCAGGTTTGTCCCCTGGGGCCTTCTGATGACAGGTCACGTCCGTTCCCGCGTGGTGGCGCTAATTGAGTTATACCTGGGTCTTCCTCTTATATCTTCCGGCGATGTCTCTACTTACAGTCGGGATTACTAATCATGACTGAGACTGACGGAGCATCTATTTTTTATATTTTATTTTATTTTTTGTTTATTGAATATTTCTAATTTTTAAATTTCAACGGACACCTTTCTCTCTCTCCTCCTCCTCTTCCTCCTCTTCCCTTTCCTCCTCCTCCCTCTCCTCCTCCTCAATTTGTGGATCCTTTGCTAGATCCGGGTGATGTTTTTGTATTCAGAAATTTCCTGTTAGTCTTGTTGCCTTAAATTATAATTAAATTACTGGAAGAATATTAATTTTAATACGTCTTAAATAATTCTTTCTTGTAATGCGATTCTCTCCTCCTCCCCCTTACGATATTTTACTGTTCTATTTTCTTTGCTCTGTAAAGTGAAAGAGGGATTTTTTGATGATGAATGTTTAATTCTGTATTAATGTTTACTTATGTGAATAAAATAACGTTAAAATTTAATAGGAATGTAAGCGATTTAAGCCTTTAATATACCTACTGTATTAGTCTTATATAAGTTATAAACTAATCTATGAGCCCTATATATAAATTACTGTATGAGCCTTATGTATAAACTAATAGAACCAGTATTGTGGACGGTACAGTAGAGTTACAATATGGTATGATATATCTTTACTTGGTAAAACTCCGGTTACATAATAAAATCCTTGTATACACTGATGTAATAAGTAAGAATTTCCTACGTTATACTACAGCAGGATATTACAATATTTTATCCTGAAATAAATTCTACTGTACGTATTTTCTGTTGTATATACAAGTAGAATACATGCTATGGGAACTTGGTATTTATATGACCATAAGTAGTCCTTAAAATGATATTCACTTTATAACATATGTAAACGAATGTGTTTGTAATCATTTAAATTGTTAAGGATTCCATATTAATACAAGGATTCGATAATTTTCAGGATCACTTCATACGTAAAATCTTAGGAACGATCAAAATGGTGTAATGTATCAGATAACCTTGTAAATTTCTCCTATAATGTATAAATTTATATCCTGACAGTCTGATCCTTATAATAAATAGATACAGGATAATATACATGTATACGAGAATTTCTGTGCCAAACACGAATCCTTGGAATGTTCTATTCTTATATAAAATATGAAATTATCAGTATAATGATTTATTTATTGTATTAATCATATAATGTGCAATCCTTAAATACAGTTTCAAACTAATACGATCGTACAGAGCCAATAATATTACGAGATAATCCTTAAATCACACGACAATAGTCGAACATTAAAATTGATTTAATCAATTATGAAATCACGTGAGAGATGATCCTATACTGAACAATATAACACGACGATTTACGATCCTTAAATCGATTTAATTGGCGTACGATCCTTAAAGTGATTGGTTTAAAATCGTATTTTTAAACCAATCAGCGGCATTATATCACGTATTAAAAAAAAGAAAAATAGGAATAAAATTCGAACCGCGAATCTATAAAGCAGTAGAATAATTCAAGAAAAACATTTATTCAGGAATAAGAAGGGAGGGAGGAAGGGAAAAGGGAAACTTTTGTAAAATACCAAATTGCTCCATCCCAATTTAAAATTCAATTGAAATGATTAAAATTACCGGGGGCCCTTGTTCACATCACTGATCTGAATATAAACTTAACATTCTTTTTAAACATTACTTCCTCTCCTTTCTAATTACAGTAAAGGTAAGGTCAACAGAGATTGTAGATTTGGGGGTGGGAAGAGGGGGGAGCCAATTACCTAATCTCTGGAGATACTTTTTCCCTTCTATATCTAGGAGCTACCTTTAATTATTCAAGAAGAGGATTAAAAGTCGAGTCGGTTGAGTTGCTTTCTGACCGGAAGCACGTTCGTTATTGATGTACCCATTCCCAAAATCTGATTGGATGTCTCTTGAATAACGTAGGTAAATAGGGCGGAGTTTAAATGGACTTGTGTCACTTTTACTTATTTATGCATCGCTGCATCCACAGAATCGCATACTGTAAGAAAAGTATGGGGTTGTAATAGTCGAAAACTTACACACACACACACACCACAAGCTTTGTCCTAGTTTTCCAGAATAGATCTTTCTTTAAAAAAATATATATATCTTTACAAATTTAAATCTTTTATGATTATTACGAAACGAAAAAATTCATATTCTTATCCTTATTTTCCTTATTTAATAATTAATTTTTAAATAGAACGTGACTTAACACAGGCCTTAGTATTCACTTACACGCAAAGACCTTAAATTTAATGGCGTCGCATCAAATGTTATTTATAAATTCTACATTGTTTCCAGTTAGATTTTGAAGCAAAATTTAAATTTATGCAGAAAAAAATTAATATTTAAGAAAGGAAAAGCCTTTTTAGACCTGTAAAACCTGCCTAAAACGGAACCTGAACGAAACAGAAACCTGCCAGAACGGAAATTCTAGTTTACACAGGTTTTAATGTATAAGACGATAATGAAAATATAGACCTTAAATTAAGTGTTTTCTATATATTTTTACTATAAATCTATAGATTTTTCTATAATTTAAACAATTAAAAAAATTAGTTATAAAGGTTTTACACACTTAATTTACTTAATAAGTATAAAAATAACTATTTATAATATGGAATTATTGAATAATTTACTATTGAAGTCCTTAATTTTTAAATAAAAAACACTAAAGACAAGATTTATAAACTGTTTTATAATTAATTAACACTTAAAAATTTGGAGCGTAAGCACTTAATCATAGGACACGACACACGATACACCAGAAAATTATGAAGTGTTATCTTTAACAAAGGCGCGTTCGGCTAAACACTAGACATTTTTCTACCTCACAATACATAAAAAATATAGGGGAGAAGAAATAAAAAAAAAAAAAGGAATATAATGTAGTAGATAAGGCAGATAGCATCATAACAAGTCACCTTTCACATGACCGACGCAAGCCATGTGACGATGTGCATTTTGCTAGGGGACCTCCCAGAGGATACAGAGGCTCAGGAGGATGCTTTTCACACGAGAACAGGATTGCGAAGAGAGATGTTGATGAATGAAAGGCGGTAGGAAATTTCACGGGAAACTATTGGGAAATCAAAGTCTTGTAACTGCATTGTGTCCTGTGTTATGGATGGGATTGGCCGCCTGCACGGCTCGTGCCGAATTAATGGAACACCTGCTCTACTCAAACAGTTCTTTCACTCGCGAATTTTGTTCCCCATTCGGACCGTATATTATGCTTTATATTTTTTATGTGATTTAATAATAATTGTTAATTAATTCGTTATCTCGTCCGACTTAAATCGAACCGGTTTCCCGTTTCCATTGACTTATAAAGTAATTGGGCATTAAGCTAGTGAAAATAATCGAAAATGGGCAATCTTCCAAGTAAAATCGACAAATTATGGGTTCTATCTTTGTCGAATAATTAGTTAAAAGTGTTATCCTGGAATGAGAGGATATTGTTTTCGCTATTGTAATGTAATGCAGGCCCACTGGAGCATTTTCCTGCAATTCCCTTACAAAAAAAAATTGATTTGGGGCCTCCTGTAGATGGGGCCCCAAATCAATCTTTTACAAGGAAATTTCCCTAAGAAAATTACCTGAAATATGGGGCCCCCTAATTCAAATTCACATGGGCCCCATGAAAGTCTAACGCGCCATTGCATAGGCCCACATAATTTCACTATTCCCAAATTTTTCTTTTTCTAATTAATATTTTAGTTCTATTAAATTCTATTTTAATTTATTTTCGTACCTTCCCCATTTCTAATTATCATTAATTTTATCACTTAAAGTATTCATTGTATCTTTATCTTGATTAAATTTATCACTTTAATTATGGAGTAATTNACTCATATCAGCAATTGTATATATATATATATATATATTTTTTTTTTATATCGTTTTTCCCCCCTCTCTTTCTCTCTGTGTTAAAGCGAGTATACGACTACAACGTTGTAGTTTTGAAAGAACGGTTGAATTTAATCTATAAACTGAACCATAAGAATTACTTACCCAAACAATTTTTACATGAGTAAACATACGTTCAGTGTCTGACAGAATTATGACACTTTCACTTTAACTAATAAAATATTTTTAAGGAAACAACATGTGTCAGGCGCATTTCCAAATCAGGAAGCAGCCAGCAGTGAAAAATTCCTGGATTACCTAGGGTGTAGCTGTAAACCTTGATGTTTAGTAGTCATCCTTGTCACATCAGAGACTATGACGTCGCCAATACGTCACGTCACCAACACTAATATTTAAAAAAATAATAATAAAAATATATATATATATATTCCTTTCTTCGAATCAGCAATCGTTGATGAAGGTTGGGATTTTTGTGGGATTTTCAAATTGTAATCACAATAGACTACTTTGAGAATTGCTTTTCCTTATTTTTTTTCCTTTGTTCTATTGTTTTTTTTTTTAATTATTGTTTCTCAATATTTTCGTGGAAGATTTAAAAAATTTTTTTTCGGTGTATTATTTCTGTATGATGAAAGGAAATGAAGTAACTTCCTCCTGCGATATAAAATAGAGCGCTTGTATGTATGTATATATATATATATTTTAGATGCATAAGTATATTTTTTCATATTTTTAAGCTTTTATCGAATAAAAATAAAAGTTTTTTTTCCTCCCTTTTCCTTTTTTTTTAAGTATAACGATGACGTTTTTCGTGAAAATATATTTTACATACGAGACGTAAGGAAACTAAACTCCAAAAATTCAGATCTCTGGAGACGAGGAGAAGCTCATTTTTTCCTTTTACCCTGTTTACTCTTTTAGAAGAAACTGTTTGTGTTAGGAACGTTGAAATTCTCAAATCAGATACGGCACTACGTTTTAAAATTTGTAGTTGTTGGACCAAGCTATAGAAAAAAACAATAAAAATAATAAATAAAAATTCTTCGTGCATATCAATAAAATAATACACTAAAATCACATACGTCTTAATTGTATAAGGAAGGACACATACCAAATTATATTTTATATTATTTCGTAGAATTATAATAAATATTTTAAAATTTATTCTTTATGTAAAATATTCAAATATTAAAAAAAAATACATATTATTATTGTTTAAATTTATCTTTCTAAAAAGTCTATTAAAAAAAACAAATAACAATGTGTCTATTTATTTATTTATTTTCGCTTTTATTTTTATTTTTTAAATAAATAAAATTTATATATTATAGTTTAGTTTTACACTACTAGAGGGAGCGATGTGACGGTGGATTGATCTATATTAAATTATTTATATAAAATAATATAAATAATTATCACAAATTTATAACGAGGAATTATTAATATTATTTTACGATTTAATTAATTTTTTATTATAATTTTAATAAT